TCAGCGTTTTGGGGAAATATAGTTCTGGCTTTACACGTTTATTTGCACTTGGAGAAAACAAAAAGTGGGTGGCACTTGCGTTATCCCGTTTGCAGCTAAAGTTTAACCGTCAGCACATTTTCCAGCCCCTCGTGCTCCACCTCTCCTCCGCAAGTGTCCCTAGACTCGCTTACTTTGCTTAACTTTCCATTGTTGAGCTGAGGAGTTGGATTTTGTCCATTTGTTTTTATGAATGGAGTTTTGTGATAAAAACGCGTTTACTTCCATTTAACCAGTGGGATTTACTAAGTCTTACAAGGTTGACCATAAGTAAATCTCTAGATCCTTTTATTTTGCTATGGATCCCTATATTCTTTCTTCCAATGTGTTTTCTGCAATGTGTTGGTTTAAATGCACCCAAGGTGTATTAGAAAATTATCAAACATAGTATAGTGCCGATCACTAAAAGCGGCATTTGTAATGTTAAAAGTTCAAAAATAATCTGAGTTTTCAAATTGCTTATTCCACTTTTGGGCCTTCATGGTGTTTTAATTAATGTATCAAAGAAAATTGTATCAAAACAATTAATGTATCAAAGAAAATGGCAAAAAATTCACCAGACAGTCATCAATCTCTCTAAACTCTTAATATACTATTTGGGCAGGTTATATGACAATAATTTTTCAGATTCTAAAATATCTTTTAAGAAAAATACGATTTGAAAATTTTGCAAGCCCTTCTGACCTAGCTACAAGAATGAGGGAAATAAATTAGAGTACGAGTTTCAATTAAAAAAATTAATTCTTAGTAGAAAATTGGAAATGTACATGTCAACTTTTCACTCTTGATGTTGGTGTTTTCTGAATATTTTTAAACTATTTATATTTAGTCTGAATCAGTGTCCCTATACCGTAAGCTTTATCTTCGTCCCCTCCAGCGCTACCTCCCCCACTAACCCCCCCCCCCCGCCCCCTCCTGCTTTGGTGCACACACCCTCACACCCCTGAAAGCACTTCTCCACCCTTCCCCATCCCTCCCATCCCCCATCTCTCTCTCTCTCTCTCTCTCTCTCTCTCACACACACACACACACACACACACACGCACGCGCGCGCACGCACACACACCACACACACTTGTGCTTTCAGGACAACGAAACACAGTCTATTTCCCTGGGGAAAGAAATCCTGCCTGGCGAGATCTCCCCATTGGTTGTTTACCCGGAGAAATCTACATGTTTAAGGGGGATGGTGCATCCATAATCAGTCTGTCCCTATAGGACTTGGGTCTTGGCGACCTTTTTGTGACCTCTCCCGCCAGAGGAGGCTGCTGTCACTTTAAAAATTTACTGAGAGAGGAGTCTGGCTTCCGATCATTCTGGGCGGCGGGAGATAGCTCCCTTTCTCCCTCGCCCCGGGTTCTTTCTGGATGGCCGAGCAGATCCTCTTTAAAGAGACAGTTCATGAAATAGAAACCCGGCGGCTGAGCTTGGAGTTGCGAAAGGGGACGATCCCGTGAGGGTCCCGGACCCGCGAAGGCGCTGCGGAGGATCTGAAAAGGGGCTACAGCTCCCTCACCTCCCCGGGCCCCCCACCTTTTCAGACCCTCCTCCTCCTGCTTGTTTTCCCCCCCGAGGAACTGGGAAGGAGAAGTAGAAGAAGTTTTAGTGGGTCTCAGATAACTTTCATTACACATCGGGCTGATAAGAGCAAGAGAAAGTGAGAAAAGAGGGAGGTGATGTGAAGCAGAAGGAATAGCTCCGAGCTCATTTAGGAAGGGGGAAAAACCAAAACACACCAAACCCGGGTCACCCAGACGACAGAAGACTTCATTTCTTGTATTAAAAATACACTGTTGGCGGACAATAAATCCGAAACGCGCGGTCCTGGAGAGCACATCCTAGAGACGGACAAAGTTGTCAGAGACCCATGTGGAAACCGAGACGCCAGGCTTTTAAAAAATTATGATTGTTATTTTTAAACATCTCGAAATGTTGCTCGGGATCGTTTGAAAGGATTTTCGTGCAGGAGCGTTGGGGGCTGCTGATTACTTATTTTGTTTATTTTGATTCTTCTGTGATTGCCTATTATTGCTGAGTTGAGGCCATAGAAATCTAAAGGTAAGAGAACTCCTCACTTTAAAAGAAAAAAAAAAAAGTCTGGGCGATGTGAAAGTTTGTCACTTTGGACAGTTTCCTGCCGGGGCACCGTTTCTCGGGGCGCCCCCCGCCCCCCCGCCGTCTTTCCTCCTAGTCCTCAGTCTCGCGGAGCCCTGCTGCTTATCTACGTTGCTAAGCCGGGGGATTTCCTTGTTCCTCCTGCGAAACGGTGCGGTCTGGACACGTCTCCGGGGTGGGTCGTCCGGCCTTCGGTGGGTTTCTCTGCCGGCTCGTCGGCCTCTTTTCCTTGCGTTCTTCTCCTCTTTCCCCTCCCTCCGTGTGTCTCTGTCCGTCGGTTTCGGGGACTCAGAAGGTGCGGTTGCCAAAATCTGAATTCCTGGCACTGGCCACGCGACTTTGGAGCCGCTCTCGGCCGAGTTCCACCTTGCCAAGTAACAGCTTTGCTGTCCAACATCGTGTGCTGCTTTGCGAGAAAGTCACATTCGGACCCTTTGGCTAGATTGTGGGGTTTTTTTTTTTTTTTTTTTTTTTCCCCCTTTTTGCTGTTGGTTTTTTGAAAGGGCCTTTCTCTAAAGTCTACCTAAAGGGTTTTTTTTTTTTTTTTTTTTTTTTAAAGCTATCTTTGGAGCTTGACAGCTTTTAAAAACACAGGAGTGTGTTATATGAAATGACTGAAGATGTGTCGTTACTTTATTTTATTCGAGATTTCCGACACCATTAAGACATTTGGGAGACAAATGCAGTTCTGCTAGCAAATCAAAAGTGAATAATTCACCCAGGGGGCAAACGTTTCTGGAGAAAGCTAAGCTTTTGTCTTGGGGCAAGAATATTGAGAGGAAGAATGTTAATACGATGGTGAAATCTTTGAATAATCATGTAACACATTATGTAAGAAGACATTCTTTGGAAATAAACCTTTTTAAAAATTAATTTTGCTGTTGACAGTGGCAATGCTAATAATGTTAACACGGAATGAAACTACACCTACAATTTTTATGTGCAGTATATGTAATACTTAACTCCCTGCTCCTATAAAAGGGAATGTTTGAAAGCTAAGGGGATAGATGCTTCTTGACTTTGAAATTAACAATTTTTCCACATCTTTCTGCAAATATGAAATGGAGTTAGTGTTGCATTTCACTGGCTTTATTCTATTTCCTTTATTAAATATTTCTTTGGTGCGTCAGGAGAACTGCCTTTTTTTTTTTTTTTTTTTGCCAGTCAAGAAAACAAACAACAAAAGATCAACCAAAGCCCAAACAGAGTGAACAAACAAACAAAACCCAGCAACAAACCCTAACTTTTTACTATTTAAAACTGTGCATTGCTGTTGTTTTCTATGTACCTTCTCAACATCTGGGATGGGGGGAAATCTCAAGTTGCCATTTGAGTTACTCAGCACTGAGACTTAAAGAAACATCTTAAAATTTGTAACTTTATTAATAACAAATTTTTAGAATTTATCTTTCTTAATAGAGAGGATATTTCAGTGTACACTTTTTGTCATTTTTAGTGTGAAGAGGCGTCCTTGAAAAAGAAGAGTTTGATTTGTGTGTGTTTGTGTGTGTGTGTGTGTGTGTGTGTGTGTAGCAATTACTATCCCTATCTTATGTTCAATTTTTCTTTTTTAAATTGTGGGACGACTTATTGCCCTTCAATTTCCTCATGGCCAAAGGCTTATTCATAGTGCTTGTTGACTAAAGCCCTCAGAGCACTGGGTTCTTCTTGAAGTTTATGGTGAGTTAATGACTTGAATCTCCAATTGGATGATTACCTGAATTCTATGCAAAATTGCTTTTGGTCTCAGTACTAAAGAGCTTAATTTTAACTTTCATGTAGGTATGCATACAACAGAGATCTGTAGGAGTAATTTAATTCATTAATTTTTGTTCTAGGTATATTGCTTAGTCTTTGATAGGAAACTTCCTCGTTTGCATTAACTGATTGACATAACATTACCTACCTTTGTAGTTTTTCACCATCAGGTCAACAACTCTACAGCTTTTAATATTGATGTTGAAGACATTATTTCTGTTAGTGAATCAGAATAGCTTGGTTTAAGTACACAAGACCTTAAAAATTGAAGTTTCCCACTTCAATTTTTGTTTAATGTGTCCTAACTAAATGATTAACATTAATTTGGGCCAAATGTAAACTCTCATGAAAAATAACAATATATAAGTATACCTAATGATAACAGTATGTTACAGTATTTTAATATATTTTTATTTGTTCACAAGGAGCCAGCTTTGTTACTTTGCTTACTAGCCAAAATATTGAAACATGCATTGACATGTGTTAACTAAAACCTGAGTTTGCCATGCTTTCCCTGAGTATTTCCTAATTGATTATTTTCATTTGTTTTTCTTTAGTTTGGTTGAAAGCACCAATCAGGCAAATCTTTTATCTCCTTCAATTAAGAGTGTGATTTAATTGTTTCATGGTGATGAAACGCTAACTATGAAGAAAACATTTAGATGAAAGTTTTTAAATTAGGTGCATAAATGTGAAAATATATGCTTACGTGAGACTATTCACATATGAAATATTGACTATAATGTTTAGAAATACTATGTTAATATAGGCTGTTCAATTTTTGTGTGCGTGAAAATCACATTGGATAAAATTAGCACTAATTTATGCATACGAAAAGAAGCACTTTTGAAACCAGTTCATCAGTTTTTGTAACAAATTGCAAGTGCTTTATTCCTTTTTTTAAAAAGCAGTATGTTGTCGTTTTCAAGGTAACTTCTCATTTCCTCTCTGTTAATATGCCTGCAATCTGACTTTTTTTAAGGATCTGAAGAAGGAATATACATTTCAATACAATATTTTCAAACAACTGATTATTTTAATGGGTGGGCCAATATGGCAATTGATTGTTCTCATCTTCTTCCCTCCAGATCTTAGATGAGTTTTGCAATGTGAAGTTCTGCATAGATGCCAGTCAACCAGATGTAGGAAGCTGGCTCAAGTACATTAGATTCGCTGGCTGTTATGATCAGCACAACCTCGTTGCATGCCAGATAAATGATCAGGTATGTTGTAAAGATTTTTTTGTCTTTCCTTGAGAGCACTAAAGTATCAGTGAAGCCTGAAGAATAAAAATAACAGTGAGCTGCAGTAGACCCTTATGGCCTGTTTGTTGGTATTGTGAAAGATAATGCACACATATAAGTAAAATGCAGAACAAAGTCATGTTTATTACTGCTTTCTTTACATTCTCTGAGTAGTCTATTCACTTTGTACTAGTATCCTTCATAAATGCACCAGTTTTCTTAGTATGACTGAATGATTTAAAAACTGAGTATTACTACTGCCTACTGTTCATTTTTTCTTTGCTATCATAATAGGTACATTCATGAAAGGTATTGAGCTAATCAAGAACATCTTGTGAATTTGTGCAGAAATTGGAAGTGATATACTTGAAATGTTATATAGGTTTTATTTGAAATGTATATGCATGATAACGGTGTGGACGTTATGCATTTTATATTGATTTGCCTAATTATAAGTGAAAACACTTACTTTTAGATTAATTAAAATACTTTTTTGGTATATGTTAAAAAGTTTAAAAATAACCCTGCTGGAAATTGCTTTGTGACGTTATGGAGGACCATGCAGTGACATTGACTTTAATAACAGTAACTATGAAATAAAGATCATGAAAATATCACGAAACATATTCTGCACTTAATAAAATTAGGTTATGAATCTTATAATATAATATGACAATACCTGAAATAACAAGAAATTCAGCCCATTAATTTTTGTTTTAGGAACATTGTTGGGTTAGAATTTAATTATGTTATAATCATTTATTTCTTTTAACCCAATGGTTTTCTAAATCAAATCTGTTTCAAAGACCATATTGAAGTAGTTGCTTGGCAAATTTACTATGAAATCACCATCGAGAGAAAGAATAGTTTAAATTAAATGTTTCCAATTGAAAACTGTTAAATAAAGCTAGTGTCAATTGGTCTAAGACTCTCTATTTCATTCATGATTGTGAGATTTTTCTTTGGCATCTTACCAGCTACCAGATAATTTTTACTGACTAAACTGTGTAAGAGGCAGTAAATTGTAAAATTAGGTTTAAATAGGAATCATTTAAAAACCTGCAACATATATCAAAAATAATAAACCAATCAATTGCTTTTTCTCATTGCCACAAGAAAACAAGAGGCATTATTGACGAAGGAAAACATTATTAAATTAGCTATTGATTGTGAGCAGAAAATACCCCGTCTATCATATGAGCTACTGTCATCATCAACCACAAATATTTTTTGAGCACCTACTATATGCAGATGTGGGAAATACATAGGTGATGTGAAGGAATTAATGTTAGACTTCTTAAAAAAGAACTGGAGGGCCTCAAGGGATAGTTTTAAGTCAGAATAATTGTTTGCTATTCATAATTATTGACAATGGGAGCTATTTCCTTAGACAGATATAAGGAAACTGTTATAGAATCAGTGAAAAGATGATTTAAGAATGGGACTTGCAGCCAATCCAAGTCCACTTGTAGCCATTTTTTCATTTAATATTTATGTGTCTGGTGTTTTACAATAAATATACTCTTATCATTGGGAATCTTGATTGCATTAAAAAAGGGAAACTGTTTTCCTGTTTCTAACTATGATTAGGCCACTTATTAGAGTAGGCATTTAAATTTCACCATAGTTACTTTTGAAATATACATTGTAAAATACATTGTTTTCAAAAGAAAATATGCTGGTTTTATACCTTAATGGCATGTTTACTTATTTTGACTAAAGAATCAGAGAAAATAATCTGGGCAAACAGATGAGGACAATATTAGACATATTTTTCTTAGGTGCTAATTTTTAACTTTTATATTATGCTGCCCGAAATCTAAGATGCCAACAGAATGCATATCAAATAATATAACTTTGAAATTCGAGTAAATTCATCCATAAACAACAAGGGTGGAAAGTCAGAGGTAAAAGTCAGATTTGTATGATAACGTGTATGTATATAATCACTCTTAGCCCAGTTGACAAGACAAAAGGGAACAGACACCCAAATGTTGTGTGCATGTATTATAAGCACATTCACCTATAAGCACATATGCTTATTCTAAAATCCAATTAAAACTAGCAATTATAGACAACTTTGAAACGTGAATGTAGGACTAGGTACAATGGTAAAAGAGCTGACTAAAGGGATTCTCTAGGTCTGTTTTTTTGCTATCTTTTCCAGGAGGAATAGGAGCTGCCAAATGGCAAATAAGCACAACTCATCACATAATGAACACTCCCATTGAGGGAGGTTTTATTTAATATTTAGCTATAGAGAAAGACCCTGGTATTGGAGTAATTATTAAGCATTAATGACATCAGTTCACCTGTATAACACAAAAGCAAATGGAACGCTCTACAAGAAATTGTAAAGTGTTTCTCTTTGCTCTGATTCTTAGATACAGCTAAAGTTTATCAAATGAATTTTAAGAACAAGACAGGTATAAATCCTGAAATCTAAAAAAAAAAGGAATTTCAGATGAAGCTTTCAACTGCAAGTTAGTCATGATAATTAGGTCATCTAATAAAGAAAGAAAAAGATTACCCAGAACAAAACCAGGGTATATAAATTATAGTTTACTTTTTCAAAAATACATATTTTTAAAAGTTCTAATATTAAAGATCAAGTTTAATCAATTCGGAACAGTTTTTAATGATATGGAGGAGCCATATTAAAGAAAATAAATATGCTTGCTAAGATGATAATATAGTTTGATAGTAGTAGGACAATCAAAACGTCATATGCTGGATAACCTGTATTTGATATCTTTGTGGGTGAAGAAGTTCTAGAAACAGCATAGATTTTGGTTTTTAAGTAAAGTTGATGAAAGATGTAATCTATTTTGTATCAGAAAAAAATAAAAACAAAAGCCTCTCAATTAACACTTTTCCCATTCCTTTCTACTAGCGTTTTAGTTAAGGTGATTTTCCTGAGTTTAAGTTTTCCAATAGGTTTCTGCCAGTTACTTCATTTCAGATTTTTTTTTCAGACAGACTATGCTTTGTGACAGCTTGCTTTCTTGTCAGTGCTGCCTAGAAAGACTCAAGTTTTGTGATTTTAGACATCTCTTTAATTTCATGTTTTCAAAATTATTGCAGTGATGTTTCTGGAGATACACATTCTGAAAACATTGGCACCATGCTGCTAAACCATAATTTCTAAGTAGCTGTGGCTTGTGACTGATATCTTTATTCACCCCTGAAAAAATGTATTAACTACAGTAATTTATCTCTATGAAAGAAGCGACGCCAAAGACACTAGTAAATTGAGCCACAGTCAAACTCAAGTCATAAAATAGTAGATCCATTAAATACACCCAAGTCTCTTTATCATTGATATTCTAGTTATTTTTCCCTTACAGTTTCTCGACAATGCTATGTAGTTCTATGGCTGTGGCACAGTGGTTGGCTGGAAATTTTTACTGAGACAGACAATGCTTAAATATTTACATTCTAACAACCTGAAATTATTCTTGGTTGCTTTCAGAAGCAAGAACAGGCCCTGAAAGGCAGAGCAGGGTAGGAGCAAAAGCAGAGAGTTGGTTGAGGAAATCTCTTTCCAGACTAGGTCCTCAAGAGGACCAAAATACAGAAGAAACATTAAAATGGTTTTTTTTTTCATTATTCAGAGGTTTCATTTACATACAGAAGCACCCATGTGTTTAATGTCAAGTAGACCAATCATCTAAATGATTTACTGTTTTTTTTTTGTAAACTGGTTGTTTTGATATTCTTTCCTTTAAAGTCTTGTAGCTCTCTTACTTTTACAAACCATTTCAATTGGTGGGTGTAACTCATTGCTTTAGATTTGGTCTCACCCTGTTCTTGCCTCTCTCTCCATCTTTTGATAAGTCTCCTTTTGACCCCACATATACCCTTCACCTGGATCAGAAGCAGGGCTACCTACCCATGGGTCCCAACCACCTCAAACAAGGCCAGTTTTCATGTTTGAATAGATTTACAAAGTTTGGGTACTTACGGAGTAGTTCTCTGGACACAACAGTTTTACTCTAATACTTCTTCATCGTGAAACCGATATTGATAATAATGAGAGAGTCACTAATATACAATTTATGTAAATTGGCTTTTTAGACTTAAATGAGACCTACTTTTCCACTTATTATTAATACAATTTATGTAAGTTGACTTTTTAGGCTTAAATGAAACCTGCCTTTCCACTGATAATTAGAACGATCTGGGCAAGTACTTTGGGGTAACGTTTTGTGTGTATTCTGTATTGTAAGAAGGAACACAATTTCATTCAAACTCCTGGCCTGCCCTAACATGGTCTATGAGTAGAATAAAGTTCTCAGAAACCCAAGACATTATTAATCTTGTCATTTACACAAGGTGATAAGTCCTTTCATTTTTAAGTAGGCCCTTGACAGCTGGTATTTAGTAAGTAGAATAAGAGAAGTCTGCTGTTCACTCTGAATAAAAAGAAATGTGTCGATAAGAGATTATCTAATGCCTGATGTATATTTTGAAGAAATGAGATACAGAAGAATGAGTGCCCCTCAGAGAATACAAAGTCAGAATTCACTTAAGGATTCTGCCAGCTCCCTTGTGGTTAATGAACAGCAACAAGACTCTACAGTGTTTTCACTATAGAGTTGGAACAGGCATTGTTCTCGTTTGTGCTTTACCTTATAAAGTTTTAACTGCTTCCAGGACGATCATAGCTGATGTGGCACCCTGCGTTTGCTCTCCTTGGGTCCATGTGAATGACTATATCAGACTGCTGTGACACTAGAACAGCATTATATTGTGAGCTTATTATGGGCTCAATTATTATTTTCTTTGGATTTTACTAAGAAAAAAATCCATTTTCCTACATCATTCAATTAGTACAATTTGTGCAAAAAAGCAGGGGTGATTAGCTACATATACTGCAAAAATGTAATTTGTTAGACTCCTTCCATAATTTAAAAACATTTGTGTCTACTACTGTCAGGTAATTTGTTAATTTGCTCTTCCTTTACAAGGATATCTGT